TAAGCCAGTTGTTACATATTACAAGGGGCGTTCAATGTATTCTCGATATCGGGTTGATGCATTAATGATGAGAGTAATTAAACTATCTCATTAGTTAAACACACTATTTTTAGGGTATAAATATAAAATTTCGTTTAATTATCACCAATGTTGAAAAACTCAGCGTCGCTCAGCGGGCAATGAGAGGGCTGTGCTCGGGGTTTCTCTGCGAGATCGAATCAGGAATGAGGAGATCCGCAGACGAGCGAAGGTTACCGACATAGCCAAGCGGGTCTGCAAGCTGAAGTGGCAATGGGCAGGGCACAAAGTTCGCAGAACTGACGGCCGATGGGGCAGCAAAGTTCTCGAAAAACGCAGTGTGGAGCGGCCACCCGCGAGATAGACTGACGACCTGTCCAAAGTCGCGGGATGCGGGCCGCTTCAAACCGATCGAAGTGGAAATCCCTAGAGGAGGCCTATGTTCAGCAGAGGACGCCTACAGGCTGAAATGATGATGATGATGAATGTTGAAAAAAATCTAGCACACCGCTGTGATAAGTTCCTTACAAAACAAGGAAACACTCAAAAAGTTGTCCGCGAACAAATGGCGGCCTTTTACCAAGATTCTGCTCCCTCATTATCTTGTATTCAGAAGTGATCTAGTGAATTCAAACTGGGTAGAAAACGTATTGAAGTCGACCCCCTTGGCGGTGGGCCGGTTAGTGCCACTACTGAAGTAAACGACAAAATCGTTTAGAAAATTACACACGAAGAAGTTGTGTAAGAATAAAAACATTAACAGAAAGGACTTAGCTATCCGTGGGTACCATTCGCACTGTCCTTCATGAGCATCTGGCTCTGTCAAAGGTCAGCGCAAGCAAGAAGACTGAAACAGCTTACGCATAGTGGGCAAAAGTCATCTGAGCTTATTTGCAATAACGCAAAATAAGCGATTGATTTATACAGGGAGGCGCAGAGTGAAGATTAAATAATATCGTTATATAAATACAATAAATCTCGGCTCATCGCTGCATCGGCGGTCTATTTATACTTGCGTACTGATTCATGCGGACGCGATTAGACGCGCGTGCGTACGCGCCTATGCACGTCGCCATTTTTAGTACCGACTGAATGCAGGCGGGAAATAGACTTTGACGCGGCCGATCTGGTGACGTTTTAGTAACGATCATTGATTCGGCGACGGGCGAAATGATTTACGGGTTACGGCATTCGATGGTGACATACTACGGTGACATAACAACTTATGACACAGCGGCAAAAGCTGTTGCGAAACTGTTGGCTCTGATGTATAGACTATCCCACGGTTATCAGAGGTTAGAAACCTTCCAGCAATCACCTGCTGGATTTCCAATTTCTTTTGCGAGGAGTTTTTCTCTACATTACAGACTGTTTACTTTGAGTGCCCTAAATTAATATGACAATACGTCCACTCAGCAGTTTCTTTTGTTATAGGAATGAGCAGGTGATGTCCTCTGAAGTATCGATGTCTCTTATCTCGCTATTGATTTTGAAAACAGCTACGGATGTCCGTTTTTGTTATAGCTGACTGCCTCATGATTTCCTCGATAGTAGAAGTAATAAAAACTTGTATGTGTAATTTCTATTTCAGGTTACGTCGTTTCGAATGCTTCACAGTATTTATGGAAATATCAGTAGAAATAATTAAGTGTTCACATTAGTATAAGGAATTATTAAATAATATCTTATTTTTTTTATCTTTATTTTAAACACTGCCCTCACTGTAGGATAACACTAGATGAGAAACAACTATCTGTGGGTCGCACAAATATTCGTCCAGTGTGGGAATCGAGCTTACGAACCCCGACTCATAAGCCATCTTGGCAACTGTGCCACGAAGCCATCAATATAAAAATAAAAACATAACTGTGTGAAATGTACCATTAAGCAATGATCTGAAGTTGAACATGCCCAAATATACTTTGTAGCCCAAATAAGCTTCCAAGTACTACCGTACACAACAATCTACACTGTCGACACCAAGCAGGTTGTGTACTTTCCTCTGCACAATCCCAGACTTGGGTCAAACGGAACGACGGAAAACATGATCTGTGCCGGTTTTGCTGGTAATCGGAGGTCAGGATGTCTACCAGGGTGACTCCAGTGGCCCCCATACCTCGGAGTCATATTCATGGCGCCTTAAGGCCATGGTTGCGCCAACGCCACCCACTGATTGGATCGAAAATTAAAAATATGGGGAACATGAATCATGCAATTTACGCCCGAAACATGTAAACTTTTTTAACATATTGTAGAATAGATTATTGTAATAAATAAAAATGTCTTTGAAACAATTTAATACGATAACTCTTTAAAGACCACAAATGAAGTATATTTTCGAAACGCCAACACTTAATTAAATTAAATTAATGACATCTATATTTAAATACCGAAATTTATAGTTAAATACATCAACAGCACTTTCTGAAGTAGTTTAACTGATGTGTAACAGATGGCACTTATTTAAATAAATAAGAGGAAGTATTACCTTTTCAAAAAACTTTATATTTAGTACTTTTTGAGAATAAATACAACACATTAAAATTCTAAAATAACGTGCCATATGGAAAGCCGTGATAGCTCAGTTTCCGGGTGCTTATTTTTAATTTAGCAAACTCAAGCAACCTGCGTTCAAATTCCGATGCATGCCGGCACCAATAAAACTGCCAGGTAAAGCCAGCCACCGGTGAAGGAAAACATCGTAAGATAACCTGCATATTTTCAAAATAAGAACAAAAAAATATTCGAAGATATGTGATGTCTGCAAGTCAGCAATGAGGTCGCGCGATGGATTAAATTTTAATATACAGTCTGTTACTTAATTTCCTTACTGGTTTTTAACCGACTTAAAAAAAGGAGGAGGTTCTAAATTGGACTGTAATATTTTTTATGTTTATTATCTCAGAACTTTCGGCTGAGTGAACCAATTTTGATGGTTCTTTTTTTATTTGAATGCTGGTGCTTGTGTGGTCCCATATTTATTTCTTTGGTGTTGGATCTTGGGCTCCGGTGATACTTAAGGGAACACCTAAAAATCAATTATAAAATGAATACTGAGGGATACATTTGAAGTCGGTTTTGTTTTTCGTTAATAAAAATGGAGTTGTGAAACATTTGAATCATTTTAATGTGTAAGTAGGGTGACCATATGACATAATATTTTCTATTTAACGACCCTTTAAAATTTCTTTGTATTCTACTGAAATAGATCGGATATGCATACACCTCTTGACCGAATTGTACACAAGATGACTGCCCTAATATGCATCGCGTGCGGCATTCTAATTGTGCATAAATGGGGTATAACGAGAAAATGCTAAATTTCTTTAATAACTGAATGGTTCACGTCTAATGCTTCTCTTTATTACTTACGTTAAAATTAATGTCACATGTTTGTGTCAACAAAAGGGAGCTTGTACTATGAAAACTAGGTAACTGATAAACATGCTACATTTACTTTTATAAATAACTAGTTGTTAAATGCGGCTTCGCCCGCGCGGCCAAAGGGAATTAACAATGAGTTATTATTATGTTAATATTTTACACCAAAATATCTAGCTGATGGCTGAATTTTTTCCTACTTAGTTGACACTTATCATTTATATCTATATTTTGTACCTTATACCTATATTTTGGACAATTCACCCAATATTTTTATAAATAAAGTGTCATTAAAATCTATTCAGTAGTTTTTGTGTGAAAGAGTAACAAACATCCATTCATAAATACAAATTTTCACGTTTATAATATTACTAGTTGCTGCCCGCGACTACGTCCGTATAGAATAGGCTGAAGGCGTAACATTTAGACAGAAAGACATATATACATAAAGTATATATATAAATTATAGCCTATGTTTTATTCTGATGTATAAGCTATATTATTGTAGTTTCATTAGTAATCCATTCAGTCAAATCATCCATTCAGTAGTATTTGCGTGAAAGAGTAACAAACATCCATCCATACATACAAACTTTCGCGTTTATAATATTAGTAAGGATATTACAACGAGATGTGTAAAGACCAAAACTATAAAAACATTACTTTTGTGCCTGAACATAGTCTTTAAACATAATAAATGTTAATTATTTCTAGATCTTATTATGCAAGTCTTAAATATCTAGTTATTGAACAGTGTTATGTCATGAGACCACACAAAAGTGGTCATCATATTTTTGACAGTACATTTTTAATTAAACACCACCATACTTACCTATACTTAGTCTATACTTCCCACTCTCTCTTTCTACCTGTCTAAATCGTTGACGCGGTCGGCAATTTCTCTATTATAGCGATAAAACTACTGAAATATATCATACAGATAGTGCGTCCAATGATAAGATAAGAAAGTTATGCTGTGATGGCCTATTGCCTAATAAAACACAATTATGAACTAAGGTTACGGATTTGAAACGTGTAAAAAGTACTAAAATTGTCAGTCATCGTAGAACCGAGTCAAGGAAGCACCATAGTACTGTAGGATTATTCTGATGGAATATACTATTAAAAAAAAGCTTAAAGATATTTTAAAAAAACTGTCGCAAAGATTTTCGGTGTTTCCAGTATTTGGCAGGATTGAGCTACTCTTATATCAACCTTCAGTCCTCTATCTAGTACTCCTGCGGGGGAGGGAGTTTGTCCCCTACTGAATCACGACAAATTATATTTAAACTAAAACAAATTTATTAAACCGTCCATCCACACACCTGTTACATAACTTATTTGAACACAAAGGTAGTCTTAACCCCGGCTAACACTAAGTACTGAAAATTCTGTTATGTGTATGTGAATTATTTTACTAATAAAATTGGGTTTCCGTGATGCCCAATAATTCAACGGTTATTTAATTTATCATTTTATTGGGTTTTACCAGTTGTATTATTTATTGATGATAGTAATCTATTAACAGTACTATAAAATGTTTAGCAAGTGGTGGAGTCTATTGATTTGGCTAGTAGTGCGTGTTTAGAAAGTGTTCAAGAATGGCTAATCTTAGCCACTGCTTTTGGCTTCTTCTCGCAGGTAAACATCTTTTTGTACCAAAGAAAAAGTAAAAATTTAAGTTCGCAATATATTAATTACTAACATTCTTGCTGTTTCCCCTGGTTTTACTGGAGTTTTAAAGTGATACTAGTCTGTTGGCTCTTAGATGCAGTGAAAGTATTTAATTTTTATATAATTTTGGAGACTTGCTGTCACTACTAATTGCCAATTTTGCATGAAACAATCAGTAGAAGATATCATGAAAGTCAGAATTGCATACGCTTCGGAGTATAATTTGTTTCAAAAGTCCAGGCATTACAGGCATACGACTGGCTGGCTCAGTGCTATTCGGACGGAACGCTCTGACAGTCATTATTACTCATATGACAAGCTTCGAAGTTTTGTCATAAAGCCAATTGTTTTTTGAATAGCAATTAAATAAAAATTTAATTAGTCAAACAGAATCCATAAATTCAAAATATCAGTCTGTGTGAAATTTTCTTAGAAGAGCGCATATAAAATGTACTAACTGCATCTTCTTAATTGTTTATATTTTACACGACTACTAGAAGAACCATAAAGACTTAGCAATAACTTGATATATGCCATTTTCTGATGCACCCAGGGGTTGCTGTCGTGAATGCCAGCAACCGCATCGTGGGTGGCCAGCCCGCACTCATTGAGACGTACCCATCGCTGGTCCAGGTGGAGTTCCTCGGAATCTTCTCGGGCCTCTGGTCGCAGTCGTGCGCCGCGAACATTCTCACTTCTAGATACGTGCTGTCAGCCGCCCACTGCTTCGACGGGGTGTAATTATGATTCATATCCGTTTGTTTCTCGGTCTAGTCTAGGTTCTTCTAGCTCGACGCTCGTGACCTGATCCAGAGGTTTGATTTAAGCATGGGTAAAAAATGTTATGGGTTCCTGTTAGAGACGAATATCGCTTATAGCATAACAGAGTAATAGGAAGTATTTCTGAACTATTCAGTAGTGTAGCTTATTTTTTACAAAGACTTCTATGGCAGACTAAAAAATTAGACAAAAAAGACAATATGATTTGGGAGAAATACAAATACGGAAATTTTTGGAAATTTATTTCGGTCCGCTGCCTCTTCTATGTTGGTCGAAAATTTTTCTAAAACTATCTAAAAGTAGTAAAAGGGCAAATTATGTGTTCCATCAAAGCAAGGGCCTCACCTGAACAGAGGGTAGGATAGGCAGGATTCCTCATGATATTTTAGTTTACCATACTGCTTGTGAAAATCATCATTTGAATTTTCAATAACAAATTCACTGTTGCCCCGGGAAAAGCACCCAAGTTGGTTGAACACACTGTATAAAAAGAGACTAGACACTGTGTTATCTCATCTGAAAATAAAAATTACTATAATGCTTCTTTGTATTCACGAGTATGTCACGTTGTATGATTAAACAACTGTATGGATTTAACATTATCGCAGTTACAAGCGCTTTAACCCATCCATCCAGACGTTTACGCTGTCTGTATCCATAAATCTGAGTCCTTATTTAATCAGCACTCTAGCTACCAACTACCGGTATAGGTGCTGACGAATAAAATATTATAAGTATCGAAAGCAGATTGCAAGTAAATAGGAATATTATGCACACACCTGGGAGCCTACTGTACTGGAGAAAATACAGGGTATTTTTAAATGCACAGTAGAGGAGAACGAAATAAAATGATTTGGCGGCCGGTCGTAAAAAAAAAACATAGCCAAAACACGCTACAAAATGGTTCTCATATTGTGCGGACCCTACATAGGTGGGATAAGGGTAGGATGATGATGATGACTATTAGTCTCGTGTACAATTGAAAAAGACTTCTCCCAAGAACCACTGTCTGATCTCTAGTTAAGCTTACACTTGTTGCCAGTCGTAAACATGCTTCACTAAATAGTATAAAACAAAGTCGTCTCGCTGTCTATCTGTCCCTATGTATGCTTAGATCTTTAAAACTACGCAACACATCTTAATGCGGTTTTTATTAGATAGTGTAATCCAAGAAGAAGGTTTAGATGTATAATACATTGCACCCGTGCGAAGCTGGGGCGGGTCAGTAGTATATCATATGAACAAGAAATGCATTGAACAAATTCTGGACTTACAGCAACTACCAACCGTCTAACCGTCGGATCAGGGCGGGAACGACGGACCGGAATACCGGCGGGGAGGTGGTCTATGTGGAGCGCGAGTTCAACCACCCCAGCTACGGGGAACTGGGGTTGGACGGCGACATTACTGTGGTGCAGCTCGCCTCACCGCTAACTTACTCTCCTGTGATTAAGCAGGGCCGCATCATATCCCAGGGTTTTGCGGTACCCGATAACATGCCAGTGGTTCACGCTGGATGGGGGGCGACTTCGGTGAGTCGATCCGGACCATCTTCCTACCATCACACTTAAAGTAACAGCCTATACATGTCCCACTGCTGGGCAAAGGCCTCCTCTATACAGAGGGTATCAGGGCATAGTCCACCACGCGGCCCCACTGCGGATTGGTGGAAGTCGGAAAAATATATATTTCGAAGATATGTGAAGTCACATATCTTCGAAATATATATTTTTTTTGTTATTATTTCGAAAATATGCAGGTTTCCTCACGATGTTTTCCTACACCGCGGAGCACGTTATCACGTGCTCCGCGGTCAGCACTTAAAGTTAAAAACTTCATTGGTGCCGGCACCGGGGATCGAACTCAGGTTGCTCGAGTATATTGAATTAAAGGCGAGCGCCCGGACACTGAGCTATCACGGCTCACACCATCACACTTAATTATACACTTTTTAGATGAAAAAGGTTAACGGATTAAATTGGAAGTACATTTTAAAACAATTTGGCAATTTTCGATCAGATACAGTATTCGATTCCAGTGTAAATGAGCTGCCATTGTATAGCCGTGGGGATGGGTTGAAGGTCATAGAGTTGTCATTTGCAACCAATGTGCAGTCAAACGGTACGAATAGTACTGGTACTGTGATTCACCATTCTCTCTTGTTTATCTCCTACTAGCCAGGGCCGGATTTAAAGTTCTGGAGGCCTCGGGGCAACAAAGGAGTGGAGGCCTCTTGGCCCCAAATTATTTTTCAAATTAAATGAACATTTTTTTTCTATCGAATTTTCCAAGATATATTTTATTATAAAACCAAGTATGTATCTAGCTGTTCCTTGCGATTTCATCCACGAGAAACGTTTCTGCTTCGCCCCTGTAGGTCGTAGCGTGATGTTACCTACCTTCCTCAAGTATTGGGCTATCAAATGTAAAACGATCTTACCAAATCCACCTGGTAGTTGCAGAGATTAGCGGGTACAAACAAACAGACAAACAAACTCTTCTTAAATAAACTGTACTTATAGTTTTCCCGTTTCTTCTTAAACTACGCAAAATCTTCAACAGCAAGGCGGTCCGGCGTCAAGTGTACTATTGGACACAACTATCTACACGGTCAACAACGAACTTTGCGCGGAGCGTTATCTGACCCTGCCCAATCCCGGAATCGTGACGGAAAACATGATCTGTGCTGGGTTGCTGGACATCGGAGGCAGAGATGCTTGCCAAGGTGACTCCGGTGGGCCCCTGTACCTCGGGGACATAATAGTGGGCGTAGTGTCCTGGGGCCACGGTTGCGCAAACGCCACCTTCCCAGGAGTGAGCACGGCAGTATCTCCCTACACCGATTGGATCGTGGCAACGGCCTCATGAAGTCCTGGATCTTTATTACTGGGTACTTGAATAAAACAAATTGCGCAAAGTGAATTTATATAGATAACAATCAGCACGTTATAAATATAAAAATATCGAAATAAAATAGGTGTACTACTCTTTGTTTTTTTTTTGTCTAGGATATTAAGTTAGGTATTTCAGGATAACACGCTAAAAATGCATACCGTATATTCTTACATGATGTGCCTTAGCTAATAAAGTTGAATGATTGCTTTCCCAAAATCTGTGTATAAACTGAATACGGAGTAAACACAGTGTTTTGGTATTGAAAGAATCACACAAAAAAGTAGTATACTAGGAGGTTTGATTTCCAAAGGCCGTTACTTGGTTACGCATTTGTGACCTGACTCACATATTGGTGATTTTTTGTGTGGTATTTTGGTGATTTGTTTTAGTGCATTGCGGCGGCACAAGTAATAGTCAGTCATATACTGTCAAATTTAGAACTAATATTTAGTTTGATTTTATGGTTCCGTACCCAAAGGGTAAAACGGAAATTACTAAGACTACGTTGTCTTTCTGTCTGTCCGTCAGTCACCATGGCTGTACCTAATGAACCTTGATATTATAATAAAGATTTAAGTGGGGCTCCATACAATATACACAATTTTTTTGACGTGTTTTGTTTACTTCGTGTGCGAGTCAAACTCACATTTGGCCGGTTGTTTTCATTAACCACCAGTTACGGTATTGTTATACACATAGGTAACTTGTAATTGTATACTTTACAATATGCAAATGATAATACTATCATGCAAATCGTTATCGAATAAAAATAAAAATATAGACTACATAATATTATCCATTTAGCACCCTTTATAACAATTATTTTAATATTGTACCGTTTGGTGAAATGAAGTAGTTAAATGTAATAAATAAAGCTTTTAGTTTTGGTTTTGTTTCGAATATGTCAAAGAATCGCTGTTTCAGAGAGTTTACTCAGTCCCAAACCTAATAGCGTCGCCATCTGTTACGAACACCGAGAATACTGGAACGTAAAAAACTAAAAAATGTGATTTTATTGAAAAATTAAAAGGAAGAAGAGAGAAGGCGAAAATCTTGACATGTATCTACATTAATTCCTTTGGTTTCTATCTGTATTAAAAATAATCACTTTTGGTGTTGATCACAAATATTATGTTAAACTTAATTAATAATACCTGAGTAAGGTATACTTTTTATTACAAAAACTGTAAACTAATCGTAATCGTGCCAAGCATTGGGGATAAAAATAAAAGCATGTTGCACCAGAAATATTTTAGAGCTTCATAGATATAACCCATTTTGTAATAAATAATAATAGGCTCTATTATCATATCATGAAATGCAATAAAATATTTGTTTACACATTAAATTGGAAGAATTTAATTTTTAAAACATAGATTTATAAGTATAAAAATGAAATTAGCGCCACCTATCCTTTAATAAAAAAAACTTATAGCTAAATACATCAAAAAGTTTCTTAATTTAATAGTAGTTTTAATTACTTACAACAGATGGCACTTATTGAAGGATATAAAAGATCTTATCGTTAAATTAACTAATACACATACTGTGTGTATGCCACTTATTTTATAAAAATATGTGAAAAAGATTTTGATCAAACAAATAATATCATCGTAATCCTATCATCAAATTACATTACACATTTAGGGTAATATGCTTTGTCTGGTGAGTCGGTAACCGAGGCTCACGTTTTAATGTTGGCAATGAATTTGTAATCCTTCGGGTGTTATACATGTCCATGGGCGGCGGTAATTACATAACATCAGGTGAACCGCTTGCTTCAGATGATCGTAACAAAACTGTAGGATAAAATTATACCATATTCTGAGTACCGTCAACTGTGGCAACTTTACCATAATTTTTGACATTTTAGCAAACTATTCCAATATAGATGCAGTTTTTTTATGTTTTTATTGATTTAACCCGTAAAGCTGTGGCGTATTTATACATTAAACCATTAAATTCATCTAAATCAGCCATAGAATCGTTAAAATATCTTTAATTATGAGCTAGGTAAAATTGACTCATTTTTGGCAACTTTACCTAGTCTGCAGTTTATATTAAATAAGCACATAGAAGGACAGGCGACGCAATGCTACCATTGTTTCTAAAGCTAATTTGACGATACTGCAGTTAAGGAAGCTCCTTAATGTTTATTTAAGCACTAGCAACACTTTGGGAAAGTTGCCCCAAGATTTTTGTTTTTTTCATAGAAACAAGCCGATGTCACCAGGGCTGTCAATTCACTAAGTTATAAAATAAAACCATTATCTCATATTTTTTTTTTCGTGAACCAGTCAAAAAATACGAAGGAATAGAACCAACCGCTTTTAGTGCGATATAGCGTGCTCCTTTCAGCCCATCTTTACTTTTCTGCCCGTGCTTTTGTAATATTTTGAACTGATCTTAGTGTCAATGTTTTTTTTTATGATTGTCTAAAAATGTTTGATCCACCAATCGCCGGGAACCCTATCGTCGAATACATATGTTTTGTTATTTTTCTTCAGGTATACTGCCAACTTAAAGTCTAACTGTGATAACGGACATCAAAAGTCGCCCGCCGCAATGAATACATTCATAAATTTTTGCTCTTCTTGATTTAAACGGAAACGGGGACCAGGTTTATTCGAGTGACGATTTTTTACTCTCTTTTCAATGGTTCGTCTGTGTATTCCCAACTGCTTCTTAGCCTCATAAGATGTTGTATTTTTGATGTTGATGATAGGTCAACAGCTAATAAAAGCATTTCTTCAGAGTAGTTTTTGTTACTACGCGCTCCCAAACGTCTTCTGTATCTTTTTGTGGTGCATTTTATTGGAGGCATCATGAAGAGATCTGTATTAGGTTCAAATATTAATATAGAAAGTTTTAGACAGTTATTTATAACGCTATAATATGAATAATATAAATGTTTTTGCGGAGGTAGCGTGTAATCTATGCCATATTATCACGTGTGAAACAATTACTAGCCAATTTTAAAACGATCTATAAAGATAAAAACAAGCAAAATTCAAAAAACACGCTAACTGTAGTTGACAGCCCTAGTCGTAGGTAAAGTTGTCCTCAAGCTAGGCGAGGTAATTTGACCTAACCTCGAGCATCATTACTACATCTCATAACTAAGGAAATAAAAGGTTTAATAGATTGATTCATTGAAATGCACTCCTATAAGAATATACTCCACACAGTTTACCATAAGTCACTTACCTGCACTTCAATTTTATGTATAAAAACCAATTTGCCTTCGTTACTGCTGCGAGTACAATTGACCATATAAAATGAAAACTCGCACTACTTGACAATTAACGAAGTTGCTTGCATGAAAAAGTTTTTGCGATACCACAATTTATCATAAAATCTACTAATACGGCAAAATTTGTACCTATTACAGCAGATAAGAAAATATTCCATATTATTTATTACAAGGTATGCTTAGGTAAAGTTGCTCGAAAAATGAAAAGATGCCACAGTTGACGGTATTCTACTGTTTAAGAGGTCCAGTTATTTAAATCTGATTTGTTAATCAAATTAATCGACCGTTCTCGAAATTTCTAATTTAAAAATCACGGGTACCTACAGCCGTCTTACTCTCGAAACTCGATTCGAATTTGTTTTTGTTTTCGATTCGAACTGGCTCTTGATTCGAACTCGATTTAAAAAGATTACTCCCGAACCGAATCGAAAATAGAAACAAGATCGTGCGTTATCAAATCCGTTAACTGTATCCGGCCATGTTAGATAAAATGTCTTAGTTAGTTCCGAATAGAGCCAGCACTCGATTATGCGCTGGCGTCAGATTCAGTGGTACGAACTGTCATGAATCCGAGTCAAACTCGATTGATACAGAACTCGAATCTGTCGGGAGTAGGCCTGCAGGTCTTGGAGCAGGGTATACACACGTTCCCGGTGTCCCTAACACCCGGGAGAGGAGGTCTGAGAAGGCCACAGTCGCGCCGGGGTTCGCGGAAGATTGCGTTATCGTGTTCTAGTGTCCCCGGCAAAAGCGACAACGTAGGTGCAACGTGTTTTTTACCCCCGTGTTCCTGGGGACTCCCACATACCCCCCCCCCCCCTGCCTCCCCACAAGGCGGCGGGGGATCCATAAAGGATTTTTCCCACTTAAAACACACGGCCCAGCCACCGATTAATACAAACTGCCGTCAGGGTCACTCACGGTCCACTTCTATGGCCAATAGGACATTTTTTTCATTATTAGGCCCAATTTTCAAAGGGTTGTCAACGCATCTGCAACCCTCGGGTGTAGCAGATGTCCATGGGCGCCGGTATTCACTTAACATCAGGTGAACCGCTCTCGCTTGGCAACTTTTCACATTAAAAAAAAACATACTGCCCTTTTAAATTAAAGCAAACATGAGCACATGCGCGCCAAACCCAAAGCAGAGGTATCAAGCTCGTCGTTTCTAGCTAGCCCAAGAGCACTGCGTTCGATGAAGCTAATACAGATAATAGTAACTACGGACTTAAAGCGAAATTAACAGTCAAATCAGTATTTCAGATGAAAAGAAATAAATAGTCTGTTGCAACTTACCGTTAATTTTTTTAGAGTTCAAAGCGGAGAGTGAAGTAGAGGAGGCATTTTATTTTAAGACGAATAAAGAATGTTAATTTAATCACAAATGAAATTATAATCACAAGTAATCTATGAAAAAAATAAAAAGAAAGTTAAAAACGTTGTATTTCCTGTGCAGCTGTTCGTCGGTTTGAATTTTATATACAAATCATTTTTATTCATAATATTTAGTAAGTCATTTTATTTTCTCTATATATATCAAGGATACCATATAATCAAACCATCTTCTTACCAGACCCTGCGTAATAAAAATTTGTAATACATCAAAGGATATCAGCAAAATCATGGTGAAAATTTTGCGTCACTAAAAATTGTAGTCCTTTATAAAAGGAGTCGTTGTATTCGGATTCCTAATGTGTAAAGTTCTGTAGAGGAAAGA